GCAATTTGGTTTTATCTCTCTAGAGAACCCTGTCTAACACACCCCCATCACACCCCCTTCTAAGAACTCAGACAGGGCAAACCCTAGGAAGCAGTTCTACTCCGACACACACGGGGGTGGGGGGTGGGGGGGCCTAACACGTCTGTCTCCAACTCCCACAAAACCAAACCCACTGCCATGGAGTTGATTCCAACTCCTGTGACCGGTAGGAGCGCCAAGGCTGTCCATATTGATAGAAGGGGAACCACCACAACTTTCTCCCTCGGGGCGATGGGAGGGTTCAAATGGCAGGTACAGCAGCTAGCAGTCAAGTACTTTAGCCCTGGTTCCAGCAGGGCTCCACTCTTGCTTCAGACCCTGCCCAACCCCTGGCCCAGGCCCCTTCCCCTGGAGGCAGGCACTAGATCTCTCTCTCTGCCCCTCCGCTGAATTTCTTTCTTCCTCTGCGCAGTCTAGTTTCATGCAGGCTCATCTTGACAGGGCTCTGCCGGGCCTCTGGGTCTCTCTCTCAGAGGAAGAAGGGGACTCCAGGAGGTCACCAGAGAATGTTCAGGAAACTTCCTCTGCTTCTGCCCCGGGGTTGCTGTAAAGATCCCTCTCAGGGAGACCAGGAAATGGACGCTTTCGTTCAGAAACTTAACTGAGTACATGCTGAGCGCCTTCTGTATACTACGTTCTGCGTGGCAGCGTGTTAGTGTGGGTAAGACGTGGTCTCTGCCCTCCAGGGAGGTGGATGGTGCTATGCAAGACAGAGGAGGCCATTCGGGGACAAGCTAGGGACAGGTCTGAAGAACAATCAAGTTGCTACATGCACCCCCAACCTCCCTGTTCTCCTGATTTTGCTTCCCGTCAATATCCTACCCTCCCAGTTTCCACAGCATGGCCGGCCTTCTCGTGGCTCAGGCTCCGAAACGCACAGGGAGGACGAAGGGACTGGTGACTGGGTGTCATCGCCAGGAATTCGCAACAGTCAGAACTTCAAGCTGGCCTGCCTGATGGTGGAGTTTCAGGCCAAGAGGACAAGCTTTTTGGCAGGGGAGGGAATATACTAGTCCCTTGGTGCCCTTGGGAGCCGTGGTGGACACAGTGAGTTACACATTGGGCTACTAACCACAAGGTCAGCAGTTCAAAACCACCAGCAGCTCCTCATGAGAAAGACGAGGCTTTCTACTCCGGGAAGCCCACAGGGGCAGATCGACCTGCCCTTGGGTCGCGATGAGTTGGCATCACCTCTCATAGCAGTGAGCTTGGTTTGGCATCTTGGGATCTTCCTGCACTCAAATCTTCTGGCACCAGGATATCCTACCAGGATGTCCCAGCCAGAGTGCTCTTTGAAAGAGAAGATGGTGAGACTGCATCTTACGTGCACTTTGGACATGTTGTTAGGAGGGACCAGTCCCCGGTAGAGGGGCAGTGACAAAGAGGAAGGCCCTCGGAAAACGGATGGAGCCGGTGGCTGCAACCGTAGGCGCTAACCCAAGAACAGCAGGAGGATGGTGCAGGAGCAGGCGGTGATTCGTTCTGTGGCACACAGGAGCGCTGGGAGTGGCAACTGCTGTCTCCATAGCACTGAATGGGAATAATGTCAGGGACAGGGCATGGGTCAGGGAGGGGATGTTAAGACGTGCCATGCCACCCCACAGTTCGGCAGAGAATTTAACTCGGGGTTGTAGAGAGTATGGTCATTCTTGCTATGATGGCTTTTGCAAAGCTGCTCTAAGCTCATCTCTGCCCCCACGCCCAGTCCCTGCAGGAACTGTCACCCACTGCAGGCTCCTTCATGCCCCAGCTCCCAAGCATATGGCCCTGCCCTCGTCCTCAGCTCTCCCGCCCAGCTCGGAGCTCACGTCTGTGCTGTCCAACTCGGAAGCCAAAGCCGCATGGAACCTCTGCTCGCTTGCACGGTGATCGCTCGGAATCAAGGTTTGCTGCTAAGCGGGAAAAGGCACCCTGGTGCTACAGTGGGTTCAGCATTGGGCTGCTAACTCGCAGGTTGGCAGTTCCAACCCGCTGGGCACTCTACAAGACAGACGAGGCTGTCTGCTCCCGCAATGATTTGCAGTCGTGGAAACCCTAGGGAGCAGTTCTACTCTGTCTTACTGGGCCACTCACCTTCTCACGACCTGATTCTGATTCATAGTGGTCCTTTGGGACAGGGTAGAATGCCCCTGTGGATTTCCAAGACTATATAACTCTTTTGTCGGGGCAGGAAGCCTTGTCTGTCCCCTGAGGAGCAGCTGGTGGTATTGAACTGCTGACCTTGACGTTAGCAGGTCAATGCATAACCACTACCCCACTAGGGCTCCCATAGGGCCTCGAGGAGTCTGAATTGCCTCGATGGGATTTGGGTTAAGTGGAAGATACAGCCAATTTGCGAGGACTCAGTACAAGAAAGGAATGTCAAAGGCAGCATTGATGCTATGCTGAGACCATATTAATTTGGATAGATGGAGTTCAACCCAACAGGCTATTTAAAAGATCCCACCTGTTTCTTTTCACTTTAAGAAAGAAAACGATGGAAGAGCCAGGCGCTGCCCACCTCCAGAGAGGGCCTGCCCCAGAGGCTCTCCCTAATGGAGGCTTCCTCCTGGGCCAAGGTGCACCTTCCACCAACAGACCACGGGAATGAGGGAGGGCAGGGGGACTGGATGGGACAAGCCTCTGTGTTCCAAACATGCATGAGAAGGTCCCAGGAGTTCGGTCACCCCATGAGGCAGGAGGGGTGGCCTCTGGCCCTTCCCAAGCTCCCCACTGGCTTCCCTCTGGTGTCTCCCTTTGTGCCCCCTATCCACTGACCCCTACAACTGCCCTCTGCCCCCTGTGCCCCTCCTCCAACCCCACCTGCTCCTTGCTGCCCACAGATGAAACCCAGACATCTTAGTCCCATGGACAAAGCCCAACACACCCGGATCACAACCAAAGTCCTCCCCGCCGTGGGATTCCAGACCTGGCCAGTCCACTGGCCACCCAGTCAGACGCTGTCTGCACTCCCAGCCTTTGCTCCTGCTGATGTGACAGGCCCCAGGCCCCCTTCCTGCTAGCTCCCTCTTGCATGTGCACCAACATTGCACTGGCCCTCAGAGTGGAGCCCAAGGCCCTTTCATAGCTGCCTGCAAGGAGCCACCAGGCTCTAGACAAGGGTGAGAAGTCTCTGGGTCAGAGGGGGCTCCAGGCCAGCATTGGTGGAAGGCGTGGTGGTGAATCCCAGGATCGATAAGACCCTCGGGAAGGTGGCTGTGAGCAGTCCTCTGAGACTCCCAGCCTCACTCTGAATGGCCTGGGCAGCTACAAGAGCCTGGAACTTCCTCTCCTCCTGGCCTCCAAATCCCACCTGGCTCATGAGACTAGACACGCGCACACGCACACTGGCAACCTCACACCAGACACTGTGGCTCTCCCAGGCCAGGTGCCACCTCCTCCCAGGGGTCGGCCTCATGTACCAGTCCGCTGCTTTCAGGATCAGAACCCCAGGCCTTGAGGCCCCTGCCCTTTAGGGAAAGAAGCCCCTCCTCTGTCATCGGGTTTCCCACCCTCCTGGTGGCCCAGATAGGTTGACGGTGAGCCCACGTGTCAGGAGAGATGGCGGCCCCTCCATATTGCCCCCACGGGAGG